CTGAGGGATCACTGTTTTACCAGATATTATTAAGGTTTCGATAAAAATAAACAAAAGTAAAGTGAAATGTAAAAAAGTCTAAAAAAAGTGTTTTGATCGCTTTAGTAGGAACCTAGGTTTATCAAGTCATATCATATATATTTTGAACAAAACTTTTTTTTTAAATTATTGAACAATCGTCCCATAAGTATCATTTCCACGAAATACTCACATCAAGTTAACTAGTAACAACTTAAAGGGACTCCACTGAGGTTTTTAGACATGACAGGACTGGAAATATTTTTTTTGAGATTATTACTCTATTTGATGTAGATCTATACCTAGAACTTATGTGCAAACTTTCAGATCATTAGCTCGATCCGTTTTTCCAAAATATTAATTATAATAGTGAAAGATGACCAAAGTTGAAAAGCGTGTAAACGCTTTTCACTCGAATCGGACAGAGAATAGCACAAACATACAATTTTCAGTGTATTTCCTGTATTTTTCTTAGTTATATTTTATTTATATTTCTGTTTTAATAGCTTGTGTTGATCTATGTGAAAAATTTAAATTTTATGTTTTTAGGCTTATGAACCTCAGTGGAGTTTCTTTAACTATAATATTACAATTATTTATATCCTCTACTTTTTGAACAAACAAACTACTCTCACATCACAAGTTTAGAAAAAAAATTAAAGCTGACGACTATGAATTTGTATTTTACGTTGATCTCCGTAAAGTTCAACGTGCATATTGTTTAGATGAAATAGTAAGGGATTTGATAATTGTTATTAAAATAGAAAGCAAAAATCAATTGTGTACAAAAGGTGTAATAAGGCGTATAAAAAGATTCATATAAAAGCAAATGAGTCGTCGCTTATTAATCAGCTATCGTGAAAATGTAAGCTAGCAGCGGAAAGAGCGTCTGCTTCAAAATTTGTTTTGGCCAAATAGATTAAAAAAAGACGAATAAGCATGCATGGCAAACTGATAAAGTATTCCATGAGATGCGCCAAGTATATCTTTAACATCAAATATTTCATTTCTGATAAAATGATATTGAATGATTTTTGCCGCAACACCGAATCTAATAGTTATCTTTTATGTTTTTTCATAAACATGAACATCATGTAATTTATCATACTTTTGAGCAATCACACGGCGTGTTTCAAACACAGTATTCGGTATACATCCACCTCCTGTTATGACTCACATTTTGAAAAAAACATAGCTTTAATATTTAATTTATGTTTCAATAAACACAAGTTTCTTCCCTTTTTAGCAGTATAGACAGATAAATTTAAAGTTTTCCAAACAATGAAACATTACTTGTAGAGATTGGTGATACATATTTAATGGCATAGCTTTCCAGTATAGAAGTTTATAAAAATAAAAGTTATTTTAATAATTCTTATATTTATAAAATTGGGGAAAATACAATAAGAATACAGATTGAAACAAATAACATGTACATTTCAAGTAAATTGTATTTAATTTTAATAACTCCTGCTTTGCCTTCAAGAAGTATACCTCCAAATTCATGATAATTTCATAATTATCATGCTTATCTTGAACATGAACTTAATTAATATTATAATGTGAACAAAGAGAGTAATAACCACATTGCAAACGGTACTTACAACACAAGTAATATACCAAAAAAAGAGGACAAAATATAATTTATGTAAAATACAAACCGTACTGCGAAATAGTGCAAAACTTTGTAAATTGTCGCACCTACACCTTTACATGTACCATGTAATATAATACGTGAAAGTTGAATCATTTTACTTCTTTAAAGTCTCATTTTTAGGTTCGATTTTCTTAAATATTTAAACTGATCTTTAGGCATGCAGCTTAAAGTTGTTTGTTTACTTATCAAACAAATTGTAAAAAGTTATTGCATATACATTTATGGATCAAAAGGTGTGATACATGTCATTGATATTTAGAAATATATACACGTAATCTTTACACAATAACCATTTTTGTTGAATAATTCAGATACGCCCGTCACCTAAAAATGACTTGAACTGTCTGTCAAAGTCAAGTAAGTGAATATATTTATAAGTGAATTATTATTAAATGAACCATGAGAGTTATAACAACATTGCAAACGGTACTTATGATCCACGTAAATTATCAAAAAGGACAATATATGTAAAATACATTCCTTACTGTCAGAGGACATATTTATTTTGATTGTTTCCTTTAAATTTACCTTAGTTTTTAATATTTTAGTAAAGTATTCGTCCATGTCTTCTATAGAAATTTAAACATTCAATGCCCCGCCACTTAGTCGGGGGTCTTATAATTTACTCTTGCCCGTCCAGCTTTCAAGCTGCCCGCCCGCTGACTTAAGTTTACAGTAGTTGTACAAATAAATGAGGCAAATCAGTAACATGTGGGGTATCCTTGTCCTATGAGAGAATTTCTAGCTTTACATTTGATATCATTGACTCTCAATACACTTATTGTGCACACATATAACAACAATATGTTAAAGTTTTAGCAATCTATTTGTTTAAAATTTTCAATGCTGCATGTTCTATTCTGTAAGATAATTATCATATTGTATTATGAGTTTATTTCTTGACATTAAAATGTCTTTTTAATGGGGACGACAATTAAACATTTACTTTGTGTGTCTCCTTTTACACAGTGACCGTTCACTTGTACGTGTTTTTAAAGCCTGACCATACTTTTATTCGTCATCATCAGTGAGCGGACTAACCGTTTATTTCAAATTTCTTTTCCAAAATAAATGTAGTTCATCATCTTATTTTAGAGAGCCAAAAATATATGATTAAAATATGGAAGACGTGAATTGCATGTCATATAAACAGACCAATATTAACGCATCCTCTTTATCAACATATCTCCCATATATCTGCTTTTATGATAGGATATTTACTATGCCAAAAAGTACAGTCTGAAACGAAGGACTATATGAAAATAACAAAAATAAATATTCTTGATCATACTGCTGCTGATGATGACAAATACTTATTATCGAATTAGTTTATCTTCATTTTTTTTATTATCGAATTAGTTAATCTTTGTCTTCTATCGATTCATTTCTGACTAAAATCTGCATGGAAATCTTTATTATCTTCAGTATTTTTTTGTATTACATAATTCCCTTTTCAATGTAGTCTTAGCACTGTATATTTATCGTTCTCCACAAGTTTGATAGACATATAACAACTCAAATGGTACATAAGTTTGTACTACAGCACAGTTTTGATAGGTCTTAAATTAATTCTTAATAATAAATTTATACTTATTTCTTTGCTTTGATGAATTACAAGGATATGTAATGGTCTTTACTACATGCTCAATTTGTTGTGTCATAGTTAGTCTCGTCTGGAAATAAGGACGTATAAATCCATTGACAAGAGGCAATACTTTAAAATCAATTTTGATTGAAAAAAAAATCAAATAAGTGATTGTTGGCAATTTGGAGACACCCCAAGTGACATGGTAACAGCAAATTAAAGATTAAGTATGCTGTTTTAAAGGCTGTCGTCAAGTCAACATTTGTGCTAGTTTGATGAACAACTTTTGAGGGTCCTCTATGCACAATATGAGGATTAAAGCACTAACCCTAAAAAAATGCCGGGAGATTTCCGCGTGGCATGGCCATTTTTGGAGTCGGCGATTTGCATTTTTCGATATAATCGTAGATTAACTGAAAATATGCAAAGTCAAAACCTTCCTGAAACTGTATTTTACAAAATTTTGATCAATCACACTTTTATAAGAATGTTACTTAGCGGTTTGCAGCAAAAGCGCGCATTAGAGCAGGATCATACAGGAATGGACGTCTAGCATAGTTTGCCATTGTACAATGAACATTACGTACTTAAAAAATCTTGAATGATAAAGAGATTGTGATGGTTTAGAAGGTCTTTATCATAGCAATAGAAGGCCAAAGAATTAGCTACCGCAAGGAAATTGAAAGCAAGAGGCCCACATAAAATTGTCGCTTTTTTGACTGGCAATTAGTTGTCTATGTAACAAAAATCTATGAAAATTAGTAAAAGCGTCCATATTCTACAATGTGTCTGATTCCGTTGCAAATTCGTTTTTGTACAACCTCGGAGGATCTTCTTTGTACAAAATGAGTATCAAATCTCTAAACCAAATACTATGACTTTGAGATTTCCGCATGGTATGTTCATTTTTATTTGGGCTGGTATTTTGTTCTTTCTATATATTAAATGCATATTTTTTCTTAAGATACACCATATTCTAGAGTCAACCGTTCAAACATATTTTGTCTGATTCCAATGACGATTCGTTTTGTACCACTGTGGTGGTTCTTCTTTGCACAAAATGAGAAGCAAAACCCTGACATAAACAATATGCCCGTGAGATTTCCGCATGGCATGGTAATTTCTTGGACCGGCGGTTTGTCTTTATGAATTGCCGTAAAAATGCACCATATCCTAGAGCCTACCATTCAAACGCAATTAGTCCGATTCCGTTGCAAATTCGTTTTTGTACAACTTTGGAGGGTCTTTTTTGTATAAAATGAGTACCAAAGCTCTAACCCAAAAAATATCTCTTCAACTATGACCTTGACCTTAGAAGAAGGCAAATAGTTATTGCGCATTAAACATGTCTTATTATGGTGAAAATTTGTGACAACTATCTTTAAAATCCCTTCACGGATAAGAAATTTATGGACCGGACACGACATATACAAATAAAATATACAACTTTGACATTTAATCACAAAGTGTGACATTGACCTTAAAGGTTAGGATCCGGTTGTTGCGCATGACACATCGTCTTATTAGACATTTATGTCATGTAATTTCAATTCCTTGGATTCATGACATAGTTATTGACCGGACACGAACATGTGACGGACGGTCAGAAGGACGAACGGACGGAACCTATTTCTAATTCAAGAAAGCGGGGGACAATAAAAAACACAACTTAGTAAAAATACACTATCACAATACTTTCAAATGCGTTTTGATTAGTTTACAATAATTTACAATCTACATCAAAAACAATTGTTGTTATAACACAGTAAAGAAAGAATATTGTTGCAAATCATGTTGATAATTTTAAGTTTTAAGTAAAAATAATAAACTTTAAATGAATGTTATATTTTTATTTGTTTATGATAAACAAAGTAGTAACAAAATGAACTGTAACATCCTGAATACAACATTCGAATATAATTTATATAAGAATTAAAATAAGAATAAGAGCGTATCAAATATATAGAAATATAAATAAATATTTTATCATACTCTCAGTAAAGCCAATTATTTAAATGAATAACAAAAAGTCATTCACTAAAAAATTTCTATCAATACACTGTCACATCAAGACTTCTGACAATCAAGTATGAACTTTTGTTTTTGACTGTCGAGTTTTGTGTTTTTCTCAAACACATTTATGCATAATGATTCTAAATCTATCTAGGAATGGCACAGGTGTTGACCATGACCATACACGAACATCAGCGTACTTGTTAAAAATCATATCATCAGTTTTGATCTACAAGTGAGACTTTGGCATCAGAAACAGGGTGTTAATACTTCCGATACGTCATTGTGTCAAACAACATCTATGTTTAATATTTTTTAATCTATTCAGGAAGGTAAGACATGTTGACTAGACACTTTCACAAACATTCATATCATGACTTTTGTATATTTTCTGGTGCTTCGGGATCCTTGATGCCAGCACTATTAAGTGTTGAGAATTGAGTACCGCTCAAGCCGGTGCTAGGGGGCGTGGGGGATGTTTTTGCACCTATTCATTATTCCTCATGTTCAGACTCAATCAAACCGAGTCTGCAATTATTATGTAATTTTGTTGTGATTAGTGCTTCCGAGGGAACATTTTATTTCCAGATATTTAGATTATAAGAGTGACCTAATTATTTGAGAAAGGGATATGATTCATATGTTTTGAACGTAGTCATAATGTCCGACACATGTATGCATAATGATTTTCAAAATCATCCAGGAATGACAGAACTGTTGACTGGACACGAATATTGGTGCATTTTTATCAAAATATGTATTCTGTAGACAGAGTGTGACCTTGACCTAAATGCTTCGGACCTAGATATTGTGCATGCCATATAACCCAAACGTGCTTCACATGTATACAAAATTATTCTAAATTCCTCCAAAAAGTGACACAGTACAGACGGACGAACAGTGGAACGTGTGAAAAAATCAACCGTCATTTGATGACGGACATTTAGCAAATCTCAGTTCCAGAATATGTTGTATGGCGTGTATTTGTGTTAGTCAATCTCAAACCAATAAATATACAAATTGAGGTGACCAAACAAACACCAAGCACAATTTTCAATTCAAATATTTGTAAATTGAATATATATCAAATTGTTTTGTGTTATAAGAGAAATGTGTCTTTATTACATTTATAATGAAGCTAACGGAAGATTGTTCAAGCAACGGCTATATTCGTCGAAACATCATTTTTGATATTTTTAATGAATTATAAGTTTTAAATTGATAATAATGCATGCTACACTCGAGTTGGCACTTTTTCGTTGTGCCTGGAGTAACATATAGTCCGTTAAGATTAGCGTGCGAACATGATTTGTACCACCAACCAGCATGTTTATTGACAGCACAATTCGTGACATATTTATCCCTATCAACATCGTAGGTGGTAAAATGTTGACCATTGCTGTATGACAATCCAGCTGTATCACCTGTATAAGAAAAGATAAAAATAATAAACAATTTTGAATACACGTGTGTCTGTTTGTTGGACCCATTTTACTTTTCTAGAAATTGTTAAAAAATATTTTATTGATTGGAAACTCTATGAAAACATAACATGTATTTATAGAAAATACTTGAATATCCTCTACATAAATATTATTACCATTATCAATATCATTATTCATATTATAAAACAGTGACTTATCTTGCCGAAGGTAAGATGCATCAATGTACAGTTTTATTTTAGTTTTATAATTATAATGTTATTCATCACCTGCAGTTCCGACTCCCTTGTCAATATGTAGAGAATAATAAGGACCATCACTAAGGTGAAAGTTCTGGAATGTTTCGTATACATGTTCTCCACCAGCCGCTGTCAGATCCAGTCTTAACTCTGTTTTTCCTTGAGAAACCATCTCGTAGATATTCCTTAGACCTGCGTAAAAATAATTTAAACGTTTTGCATTATAAAAACCTTTGCTGATACACACATACATATATTTGTCTATCTCTGACTAAAAAGTCCGGCAAAACAAATAAGAAGTACATTTCGTGATTCTATTTTAGTTAAGAGGTAAAGATCATGCATCGTGCCTCTTAATGTTGATAAACGTATACTTATTCTTTACAAAAAGAAATTATTTTCTCTAAATTGGCAATGAGTCTGTCATATCACATTTATGCATTTGTTAATAAAAAATATCTTATTACTGGTGTACAGATGTCTTTAATATGTATACAAAATAATCACGGACATAATTTTAACACCTCAGATGGCGGTTGTAAATTACCTTGAGATCGTAAATTTTATTCTAAACGGCATGCAGTTCGAGCATTTCTTTACATATCTTATTTTCGGAACAACACGACATACTTATAACAATTTCAATTTATCATGCTTTGTTGCTGCGTAATCAAAGATCCATGTGAAACTGCTTATCAAAAGCTCTGATGCATTGAGGAGTGAAACGATTATTTCAAGAAATAATTGTATGGCGTGGACGCTATGAAATTCTAATTTGACGACGTAAAGGCGCGATACATTTAATCTTGGGTAAATTAAATAATTAATAACAATTAATGGATTAGATAGGATCACATCAATTCTCAAATATCTATTTCAAAACATTTGGGAGTAATTGATAATTAACACCTATCTTTCAACTTAGTTTGGTCAAAGTATGATATTTCCATACAAATCTGAGTCTTTTCTCTCACCGATTAATTATTTGGTCATTTCTGTATCTTAAACACATTTTAAAACATTTCTGCAGTGTTGCTCATCAATGATTATATAATTTGACTGAAGAAAATAAGATAATTCCCGAAAGTCAAGCAGGTTTCATGTGCATTTGATTAACATTGCTTATATGACTTTGTGTTGATTTTCGAAAAGTTTTTGATTGACTCCAGCTGACAGGTACTCATGGTCATTTTACATGTATCAAAATATATGTATTCCGATTTAAATTAATGTGTTTAAGCACATCATGGTTTAACTAATTTTCTCGATGTTATAGGCGATAAATATAGAAGATTTTAATTTTTCGTAGTTCTGTTCTTTCATAATATGTAAACAACAATCATATTCGCGATATTTTTTTCTTCAATTGGTATTTTGACGAAAAAGAGGTATGTTTATGTACATGTGTTTATAAGAACACGTTATGTATCTAAACTTAGAAAGCTTGTGTTTTAGTATATTTAGTAGTTTTGTTTCTCAAAAAAATGTGTGATTTGTTACAGTTTCCAAATACATACTATTTTGCTATATATAATATCAATCTTTTGCATCTTTAGTTGTGTTTGCAATTGATATAATTAAAGTGAATTAGTATTCTGTATATGTCAAAATACTACGTTGTTTACATGTCCCTGCCTTTATGACACATAACTGCATGTTAAGCGCTACTTTTTCAATTGTAGAACATCTAACATGATTTTAATCAATGATTTTAACATTAATAAATATATGTTTGGCGTTTCTAAAGACTTAAAAATATAGATTTCAAATGCATAATGTGCCTTTAATACACACCAAAGACGGACAGGAAGGTTTCTATTGGCATAGACATGAATAATTCTCTCAATACTTTTTATCAGATAAAAATGTTAATAAACTAGATTCCCTACTGCAGATAAAATCGTTGTACCAACGACATTACCTGTGAACCAGTCATTTATGAAACGGTTATATCAATGCAACCCTACCTAACCAAAATTCGCCGTCTAATGAACCAAAGCCGTTTTCGTAGTCACTGAAGTTCCTGTAGAAATCCACATTGCCATTGAATCGATATTGAAAAACCTAAATGGATGATTATGTGTTAATATAGTATCACAGCTGCATGCTTTTTGGGAAAAATCTGTATATATTCAATACAAGTTATGTACATGTTTAGACATATATGTTTCTGTGTTTCCGTAAGCAATGCTTTCATTATTCGAATGTAAATAAAGAACATTTATCTGAATAAAAAAGGAACAAGAACGGGGTATTTGTCGCACCAGCGCAGTAGAGGTCATATGACGATATGCCAGCTTTATTGGTAGCGGAAGACTTTGGTTATTTCAGGCACGAGCGGGCACCTAAGTAGAACTACCGACGTTCCGAAAGCTAGCTAAATAGCTTCCTTTATTGAATCCCAAGTCCCAAGCACGATTGAAACCTACAGCGTTAAGGAACAAGTGATTTGAAGTCAACGGCTGTAACCACACTTGCCCAGTCAAAGGACTCAAAACAAACCAACCGTCCATCCTCCCGTATCTGTATCAAAGTCACAATACACAGGTGTTTTTCGGCCAGTTTTCCATAAACTTATGTTGTATATTCCGGTTCTGTTCTTTCCTTCATGCTTCTTAATGTCAGTGCAATCTGTTGGTTCTATATGTATGTAAACAACTTTTATCATTTAAGTTTACAAATTGCTACATGCCTCTTCTTCTTGAATGAAAACGGTAAAACATGCTTGACATAATTAAAAGTTAAAATGAATCAATATTACATTTATGTATTTAAAAAAGAATTAGAAATAATTCGGCAATATAGAGCGATATTTTATCAGACTATAAGATATGTATTTACATAGCATGTTGTACAATACTATTGAAGTAATCTTCAATCATATATATTTTACTTTAATAAGAATCTATTTTAGTATTATGACTTGTTACACCTTATTTAGTCCAATCTTTTGTTGCAATACCTAGACATCCATCGCTAATTAATGACTTCCATACTTTTTTGTTTTAAGAGTGTCATTTGAACTTATATCAACTATACTTTAAAGCATAACACGGATAATGATATAAAAAGGGATGACACTCACCAAAATACAGGATTTTATAAACGACAAGCAATCGTCCACCCATTGCCCCAATGTAATTACTTGAGAATAAATAAAATGTATGCACACAAATTGCGAAATCTGAAATTCTAATCATCTGTGAATATGTTTATCGGTTATGATGGATTATTTAAGAGTTTCATTGTCAGCGGAACATGGTCCGAAAATGATAAAACATGTGAGCAGATATTATACAAAGTAAGAAAAACGATTAAATCGGTTATACTTAAATATCACACACACAACATTTATATTTCTTAAAACATTCTCGTACATCATATCGGCGCTACTATGTTTGTCTGTTCTTTCTAGACCATTAAATGTTGGTGGTTTTGCACCGTTTAGCCAGGCCTGGGTAGGGGCATTATATATGATGAGGCAATATTTAAAGGGGAATGTTAAATTTATGTTTTTGTTTCAAGTAGGTAAAAATAATGAACAGTATCTCATTCCAATTAGAAAATGTGAAAGAAATTACTGAGCAACTTATTATAATCAATCCAAAAACATTAAATGTTTTACTTGCACAAGATCCAGTGTTACAAAGTGTATATTCGATTCTGTTTCCAAAACAGTGATCTCCGAAACGGTCTGGACTTGGATTGGTACAAGACCGTTTTCGACTCTGTATTCCTATACTGCATGTTGCCGAACATTCTCCCCAGACATCCCGTGAACTCCAGCCACCATGCACTATTAAATTGTTTTTGTTTTTATTTATGAATATGATAATGTAGTCAGGTGACTTAATGAATCTATGTCAATGATTAAAGAATGCGACTTTTTTTGCATACTTTTTCAACGAATATAGTTGTCACAAGTGACGTAAAACCTAAAATAAATGAAAAATATTAATCAACCCTATATCGAAAACATTGATTTTTTTTTACATTTTTTTTGTTGTTGTTCTTTTCCTTTTTTTTTTTTTTTTTTTTTTTTTGCTTTTTGTTTTTAGGGCTGGTTAAAATTACAACATAATAAAAATAATAAAGACGTTGTTGAAACTTTTGTTTCAGTACGTTTTAATATTTAAAGCTGCTACTTCAATGATATAGGTAAAGTTAACATACCGAGATCACAGAGATTGCAATATTGTGGACATATTTTCTTTGCTTGACTAGTAACCTCACAAATATCAAACATCGAGTTCAATTTAGCACAATCCACCGACTTGTCGTCTTGACAAAGGGAGGCTAAAACAAGTTAATAATCATCATTAAATTGATGCACAATAACTGCATACATAAAGTATAATCTAAATATTTGTTGTCAAATACCTATTATAGTGTAACTGTACATGTTAAACGATTGTTTCGGAAAAGAAAACAAACAAATGAAAACAAATTGAAAACACGATAAGCGACTTATTAAATGCAGTTATTCCCATATATACTTTACTTTTGTGCAGCAAATGCATCATGGCATCATCTTATACTAAAACAAACAAATATTGTTTTACAATGATGTATGTTACTAATACTTACCAAAGCTTTTGTCATATAAATTTATTAGGTTGGCATAAGGTAGCTATCTGTAACGAATAAGTATTTATACTATCTAAATCGTTTAATCATATATGCAGTTTGATTGCTGAACTTGCTGAAATTGTTATATTTCAGATAATGTTTTAAACTATACACTAATAACGAAAGGCGCTAACGAGGAGGATAAGTACATAGATTTCCGTTACATTTATCCGTCGAGCAACATTCGTAACAAAAACTCGACTTATCAACGCTCATTTTTGCAATTTCGGAGCCATTTTGACGCGTTGCATATCTGCCACAACTCTGGAAAAAATGAATTAAATGCAATTGTCAAACAATATAGCAATTGAAATGTTTTTAAAGATCAAATCAAAGTAAAACAGATAGACGATCACAAAGTTATATTATTGAACATTCAATAAGATAATAAAAACTGATTATATTCAAAAGCCCAAATAACACTTCTTTACGAAAACGACATACGTTTTCATTTCCAGTCTTTTATTTTCGGAACATGCTGGCACTGGTATGTTGATAAGGTGAAAATACGTTAAAGATGCTATCTATTTATTGTATGAAAGTGGATAATTTCTATGAATATCACAATAAAATCACTTATTTACCTCTTTGTCAATGCATCCCATGTCATACTGAAGCTGGCTTTTATGTTCTCGTCTTTTGAAACAAACCTTTGAATAATTAATTGAACTCTTAGAACTACAAGCTTTCAAGGAAATAATTAGTAGATAGCAGAACCTATTACATAATATATCAGTATATCAGAAATTGACAATATTTAAGCTAATAAGGAGCTATTTTGCACATAGTGTAACTTTTGAATTTATTATTTTATTATGAATTAAATATTCTATTTATTTTTTATTTATTTAATTATTTATTTATTTATTTATTTATTTATTTATTTATTTATTTATTTATTGTCAGCATGTGCATCCCTTTTCTCGATCAAATACGTTGTCAAGCTAATCAACACGGACGCTATTACATGGTTGCAAATAGAAGGGAGTATAAACATTACAATAAACAAATATTCATTACTTCTGCACATTTTTTGCGATAAATTATGGTATCTTACCTGACCTTTCTCGCGTTTTTCCACTGATTTACATTCGCGTATATTTACAGCTAAAACACTCCAAGGATTATAAAACCACTTTTTTCAAATAATTTGTTTAATACGAATTACAATGATACTGGATATGAATTGTTCTTTAAAAGAAACTTTTGAACATAATATAGTTACATGTATGACCGATAACTAAATATAAAATCTTTAATTGTGATATTTTTTATAAAGTTCAGTTTTAAACTTCAGAGTGATTTAAGAAGATAGGGTGGATGTCATTGTTAACATTTTGTATTCACCCATTGTTAAAATATCTAAAATGTACTTAATGCAAAGAATAAAGATTAACATGCGTGACCAATTGATGGCAGATAAAGCGAAGATGAATACCCAACCTGAATAAACAACCGAGGGTGTAACTTTTTGTTTCAAAATGAATACTTAAGATAAATGATCATGTAAAATCTACATGTTGAAAAAATACAACATTTTTGATCTTTTAAACTTAAAGTTAACCCTTCTTCGTTTTTGTTGTATTGGTCGAGATACAATCTTTTCAACAATGTAAATCTTTTGAATGCAACCAAGCCGATTTAAGTTTGTCAGGCGATGTTGGATGTGGTGCGACTGTTGGGATAACTTCTTTTGTTTACATGATGATACAATCATTTTTTGAATCATGCTATTTTACAAATAAAATTTACAAATGAAATTGACTTACCTATTAGAAATAAAATAGGCTTCATTTTGTCAGTTTGTAAAGTTGTTTACTTTATTATTTTATGTCAGACATGTACAGTCTCTGTATGATTAGATATTAGGAAAGAGAGTTGCCAAAATTTAACACATTAACAAAGATCACATAAAGACATATGCTTATAAGTATAATAAGAACGTTAAATGGATTTAAATTTATCACAATATATCTATATTATACGGAACTGTCTATGTATGGATAAATATTGCGAAATAGAGTTGCCACCAATCAAATAATTGCTAAAAGATAAACTAAGATACCAAGTGGATGTGAAAATATCGAAATAGATCTTTAATAACTGAGAAAGATTGGTCCATCTGAAGCTTAAGCAACTTTAACAATTTTATAATGTTTATACTTAAACTCAGGGTAACGTAAAATAACATTTGCGGCATTCGAGGCTTTAATGTACACAATGTGGTATACAAATTAAAAAAAAAACTATCGAATAAAAGATGGTTTAACGGTCTAAATAAAACTTTCTAAATATACAACATAATCAATGCTATATTTTTAAATATAATAATCAAGATAAAGGTAAATAAATAACTTGATTTACATAACTTACAATCATCGAAAACTATAAAATTCGGCGGAAGAAGGAAATATAAATATATTTTTGTGAACTGCAATTTGTTCTTTGTCTATATAAATTGTATAAAAAACACCATATTCTAGATGCAGCCGTTACAACGTCTGAGGGTTCATTTTAGGGCCGCTTCTTCTCTTGTTACTTTTGTCTTTGCAGCAAAACTATTTATATAAATGAACATGAATTGTATACTTTTCTTTACCAAAATTATAGTTAGTGATAAATGGCTTCATATAAAAAAATGACTTAACAAAAATCTACCTGGGTATAACTTTACGATATTTCATGTGTTAAATTACTTTTATCAGCGGTCTTTTCATGATATAAATAGTTACCTATATACATCATAGACGAAGAATATAAAATGACAGTGTACATTCAGAAGAACATTATAGACGAAAATCAAATCCTTGACAAACCAAATTGAGAATATTTTGCGAAAGAAAAACTGTAAGGATATTAATACAATTGAATTTTGCTGTTTATTAAATTATTTTTGCCTTTATTAAACTTTTTCAAATCCTTTTATTATATTAATTCTATATGTTCGATATGCCGTTATTTTTGTATTTATTACTTCAAGTTTAAAACAAAATTAAAAGCATTGTTTTCAATATACATACATTCATTGTTATAGCAGATATATAAATTTTATTCATAATTTAATATTTTCAAATTAATTATGAGATACAAAAGGTGTATTATAATTAAGTTTTTTGTCAACTATACTCCGATATAAACGCGACTCTAGACACTGTTAATGTAAACATATAAAATATAAAGATACATAACAGAATCTTCACACAAGATCTCCAGGTTATTATTATATTTTTTTAATCGTTTCAGCAAGAAGTTTTTAAACGAGGAAGAAGGAATTTTTTTTTTTATTTTGGCTTGGCCGAGGATAAAATGTCGTTGACTTCAAACCATGTTATCCTAACCTCTGTGGGTTAAAATCCTGTCAAAAAAATTGGATTCGATTTTTTCATACAAGAAAGTTATAGTGCTAGCTTTTGTAACCTCGATTAGTCGTCTCGAGTGCCCGTTTGTACCTGAAACAATGCAAAGAAGGGTATCGAAGGTCTTGCCCGCACTACTAAGGCTGGAAGATTGCCATGTGACCTCAACTGTGTTGTTGCAGCGTAAAACAAAGAAGAAAAGATTTGCCAAATATTCTTTGTAAGCAATTAAAAAAAATAATAAGTCATCAAACGTAAGATTGAAACAAAACATCTCAAATGTCAGATCGGTGTAAAACATCGTCAAAGGTTAGACCGAAATAAATGCCATCAAATGTCAGACCGGTTTCAATGTTATCTTGCAAATAAAGTTCTGTTGTTGACAATATTACATAAACTGCGTACAGTACTTTTAATCTAGTAATGTGTGCATAAGAGGCAGGTCTACAAAGTTGAAAGACATCAAGATTAACACATTGTTTAACACCAAAATGTTGGTCGTTTAAAATGATTTTTAACTATTGTAACTATTTCTGTTCATTCACCCCATACCCCTCCCTTTGATACAGCATATTTACCAAATCCAAATAACAAAAGTAAGTAATTTAAAAAAATGCAAAAGTTTACATCAAAGTTTTTATAAATGTTTTAATTATTTTCCTTCTTCCTTGCCTATTATGTGCGCAAATAGGACGGCGGTAAGTTGAAAACATTTGATTGTTAAACTATTATTATTATAGTATTCATTTTCAAATATATTATATTGATATTCATGTTTTCTGTATGAGCAATATATTTTTATTTATTTTATATCATCAATATGTTACTTGAAGTTAATGATTTTTTTTCTGATAAAATAGCTAGAATGTATTTTTTTCTTAGTTTAAATTGTTATTATCCGTTTTGAATAATTGCAATGTCATAATTTTCAATAATTGTTTTAATACATAATCATTTCGTTCAACATCTATTTTTTTTTAAATTTAAATTATTCTTATTTCCATGTTAAATCAAAAGTTATAATAAATCAAATTGTAACTTTCTGTGATCATTATATCTGGGTAAATTGCTAACTATATCAAATGGTGCATGAAGATACTTTTGAAAGATAAAATGATAGTTTCTTAAATCATACGTCCTTTTCAAATCTCAGTATATTGTTTTTATGTTCAAAATCATCAAACCTGCATCTTATGAAAGAAATTTGAGGATTGTTCGGAAAGTCCTTATACTATTTTTACTCTTAATCCATACTTACATAAGAAATGTTGCCTGTAATATATAAATATCTAACAAACACAATTGCAAAATTGACAAAAAAAGAAAATGATCAGTAATAAATATTAACATTAATACTTAATACAACATAATTATACAAAAAGTCACGGAGAACTTTGACAACGTCAAATGAACGTCAGTTCTTATTTCCTTCTCAAAGTAACGTCCACTCGAGGTCACACTTTTCTGCTGTCTGCCGACCTATTGCCGGAATACTTTTGGAACAATACCGATATACCATAGATCGAACACTTATGTGTAGTTATGGTAGATCCCGCATAGTTTCTAGTCTTTGAAATACAGCGGAATTAGTTGGTCTTTGTCGGGGGCCAAGCATGTCAATAGTGAGCAGAGTCTCTTCACATTGCGGTGCCGGTGTGTTGTCTTCGTGAAAATACGTTTTCTATATGTCCATATTAGGCCGCTTCTTTCTAATTGCGCGAATAGGATCACGGAGGATAACCTGGGAAAAAAGATCCGTTCAACTCATTGCCTCTTTTACGTTTATAAGTCCTATAAATATAACACACAGGTCATCAATATCGTCGTCAATTTTGATTTTTTTTTTTTTCGTATTCTGAGAAGTTTGATGTTATTTCAAACTGAATATTTACCTTCTGATAATATTTGGCGTTTACTATTTAATGGCTAGACACAGCGTGCTGGAGCTGCATCCCTTTTAAAGGGATACACAGAACTTGCTTTGCTGATTTAGTTTGTTAAGCCTTCACCAGTGTGGGGAGTTTGGTGTTTTCAATTTCGTGAAATACCGTTTTGATTATCGCTAAATTGATGCACCAAAGTTTTATCCATTATAGTAATATTGCTAAGTAACAACGAAACGCCTTCCGCACCTGATAATCGTAAAAAGTCCGACGACGCATGCGCATACACCCGCTATGCCATTTCCTCTGTTTTCATCAGTCGAAGTACCAATCCTACTCACACTCTAGACATGTTATGTTCCTTTGTCATTCTCTCATGTATCATAGTCCGTTTTAATAAAGTAAGGATATATCTTACTTCTCCTAAAGTAAAGCCTTGTCTACGAATATTTCGAACACCTCTCGTATATACTTTGACTTTTGGTATAACTCTGCCGTTATTTTTTTTACAAAGTGTTCGATTTTCCAGTTTTTCTACATCATGTATGTTTTGTAGGAGACTAATAACAGGAAATGTATGTAATTTTAAAATGAAGAATGAGAACATGCACCTATCATACGCAATCAAGTCAACGCTTTTAAAGGAATAGGAATGGATGGATTGATGTCTGTCTATTATAAATATTCATCATTTAAAAAGAGTAACCATGACAGTTTTCCTATTGACATCAGCCCTGTAAGAGAGAAATTCGTGTTTTAAGACACTATTTTTTACTTGAGAAATAAGTTCATGGGCGCCGCCATTTTGGCGTTCTGTCATTCTCGCGAGACAGACGAGACCGAGATTGTGACGTCTTATACCC